TAAAAAATAAATTTTCTTGGAATTGGAAATTTAACGTGTGCTGTAGTAGTTAATCCATTTTTTTCCAGGTGTAATCATGAAAATGTTGATTTTATTCAGTATCTTCTGAACATACTGATCATTGATATGGAGTAAGAGTTCAAGTTTGGGTAATTTTAAGTGTCCCAGTCATGGGGACTTAAGAGTCGTTATCTAGCTGAGTGCTGGCAGGAGGATGGCTCCTCCGTCTCAAAGGTTTAACCTGTACAGTTGTACCCCGCTTAACGCGGTTTCACTTAACGCAATTTCTCATATACGCTGTGCCTCGCCAGAACCGAACTTTCACTTAACGAGGTTCATCTACTCATATACGCAGGAAGCTGTGCAGGCACAAGGTCGCCCAGTCATCAAACATTACCGAGTTCTTCACCCGCCACCCACCACAGCCGGCCCAAGTCAGTGATAGTGATAATTATAGTGAGGATATGGACTTTGAGGGGTTTGACAAAAAGGCCCTGCAAGCCTCTGTGGTGGATAGTGATACAGGCGAGGGCCAATAATCTGCCCTCTGCCTCGGAACCAACCTCCCATCCCCGTGTGCCCAGCCATCTTTTCTACTAATGTAAGTGTTAAAAAACCTAATATTGATATTTATCTTAATTATTAATTGTGTGTGCATACCATCATAAAGTTAAGATAATATTTTTACTACAACATAGTTGTGTGTCGTCAAAAAGTGGAGTTTGGGGGTCGGGCCAGTCTCTTGGAATTAATCCCATATGTTCTGTTGTTCACTTATCGCGGTACCCTGTGGGTTCAATTGACCGCGTTAAGCGGGGTACAACTGTACTGGTCTCCAGTACATCATCATACGTTGGTATGCCCGCTTGCCTTATCAGCAATAGCTAGAGATGGGGGTAAGGAGTCGTCCTTGTATAGCATACTACATCCCTCATAACGAGGAATCCATTAAGCTATATTAATGTATGTATCGATCTAAAACACACACTTTCATGCTCAAAGGTCGCAGATGTAGTACCAAACCATTCAGAAATAGGTCGAGCAATATTGCTCAGGAATTCTCGAATCACATCTACCCCATGGTTAAGGATACTGGGGGACTGTACAGTATACCACCACATCGATTCACACTTGAGGTAAACCCCCAAGTTGGACAAAATGAGGCTGTGCAGATTATGAGGAGCAGTTATGTATCCCAGGCAAGTGAATTAAGAAATTGCCTGCCCAGATATTTTCCTTTGCATTCAAATATAATATCAATCAATTCTTCGATCACCTGTCGGTCTAACTGCCTTTTACCCTCACCCAGTCAATTTCACGTTTTATTTTCAAATTGTAACACAATTACCTGAGCAGATACACACAGCACCTGATAAATTCCTGTCGGAGTATCTTCCTCAAAATATTTACATATCTGTTGGAAAAATAGATTTGAAAAATTACATGTCCAGCCCTATATCCAGGAAGTGCTCATCTTGCACAGCCTGGACAAGACCCGACTCTGTACTGTACTAACAAAGCATACTAGATCTTGATGGTTACAAAAACATCTGGTGATCTTTTTTCTTTATTCAATACATTTTACTTTGCCTTTGTTGCAGCTTTCTGGGCCTTCAAAACCTTTACCACAATCTTCTGCTCCTCGATCAGGAACGCTCGCACCACCCTGAAAAAAATAATAATAATGTTGGTTGAACGTGCAAGTTTTTAGAAATACAGTGCATATCACAGAAGTAGTTAAGGCTTAAATAGTACCTTTGAGAGCTAACCAGATATGATTATATTGATGTAGATAAAATTGGGCAGACATTGTTAAGTGCACAAAGTTTGCAGACTAATTTATTTAGATAATGAAACCTTTTGTACTGTCAAAATGCAAAGATTAATAGATTCCAACCCCCCCCCCCTCAAATAATTAGAATTAAAACAACAACATTTAGTCACTGATGTAAAGATTGTTAGGAACAAAATTTAACCAATTCTTTCAAGACCAATGTACAGGTATCCCTCAATATATACGAATAACAGAACAAAAAAGGGTTCGGCCCCCAAAGACAAAAATTCCCTAAAACCTTGAAATGGGTTCACGAGCAAGAAAAAAAACCCACTCGACTAATGATAAATAGTACACAACTCCTTTAATTCACTACCTAACACAATGATGAAAATGAGCTAAAACCGTCATGGAAAAGCTAAATCAAAGTTTAACACAGGCGCCATTTGTATAAAAGCTGGCTGTGTTATACATGGCCGCCCTCAAGGCACTACAACCCAGTCTGGCCAGGGATGCTCCCCCTCCTGATTCGTAGAATGGCTATCATATCCCGCTCACACACAAAGAAATGTTTATTCCTTATAATTTAGACACTATGATAGTTATTTTGTACCTTTATTTTATACATTATGTAAATAGAATTGTGTGTGCATGTTGCTGACTGAAAATAAGAGAAACCAAGTTCAGCTTTGCAAAAAATACAAATTGAATTTTAACCTTAACTTCCCCAAGCCCAACCAGCTCATTTAATACAAAGAAATATTCAGTCTCGAAAAAATTTTTGGGCACATTCTGATGTAGGATTGTGTGAATGTAAATTAATATTAAAGAAAATTAGAAGATTGTTTATATACATGAAATTACGTGTTGAAAAATAATCATAACTTCTACCTCAGTCTTGTAGGGAGAGGGCCAAGGGGATGTGACCTTCCCCTGCCGACTTCCAGGGATGCGTTTAGTTTAATTTTTTGCCGGGCCCCAAATTCGTATAAGCGGGGGGGAGCTTTAGTAGCCCGAAAAAGAGTGACAATTTACGAAATTTGTAAGCGAGAGATACCTGTACTCTCCTGACATTCTTTAGGTGCGATTTATCTTTAACTCTATGGCTGCAATTCACACATGTGCACAAATACGCTCAAGTGAAATTTTAAAGCATATCTGCATAATTCTTATCAAGGGGTTTAAAAATCTTGGTTAATATAAAACTTGCTGCTAACTGAAGCAGATTGATGGATGGAGTCTCATAAGAAACCAATACAAATCCATATAATTTAAACTTACCTCTCACGGACACACTTATGGCAGAGATTACCTCCATAAGCACGAGCCACTCTCTTAACACGCTTTGACAAGCGATGGAGCTCGTGAGGTCGGGCAACAACAATACCAGGTAGCCTCGTCTTGCAATCTCCACATGCTGGAGCCTTACCGGGTTTCTTCTTATAGTGATATACCAGGCGACCACCAGGAGTCTTCACACTACAAAGGAATATTCATTATGAAAGTCTTACAAAACCTTTATGACCACCTTGTAACAGAGGCTAAATAATTTTGTTACTAGAAAATTGGGTCTAGTGAACGATTCTTTTACCAAGTTTAATAAGAAAAAATCCTGTACATCTCAATGGGAAAGCGTAACAATTCATTTTATGCAACAATGCAAAACTCAAGACAAGTACTGTACTAAAATAGAATTGTCTTATGCATTTTTTCTTGCTATAAATGAATATGACTTTTACTTCCTTGGGAAATGCATACTTATGGAGATATTACTCATTTAACACAAGCAATGACAATCTAAAAAAAAAAAGGGGGGATGGGGCAGAGCTTTGAAAACCTTACCTAACCGTTCAAACCAATATTACCAATTTTATGTAATGGCTACACAAAAACTTCAACAGTAAGACTGATTTCACACACAATCAAACATGGTTACATTCTGTGGATGTAACCAAGATACAACACTGATGGATTTAAGTTTGCTGAAAATCTCTTCCTCCATCATCAGTTAAATTAGGTAAGTGTTTTTATAGTACTGTACAGCATTAGGACATTCCTAGGTTAGGTTAGGTTAGGTTAGGTTAGGTTTTCAAACGTTTGGTGGACTTTTAACCCTGAAGTTCCCACGGCAATAGCTAATGGTCATATATTCGATTATAACAGGATAAAATATACAAGAAAAACATGTATTTTATTAATCAAATTACCATAATAAGAATCTTTACCTAATTCGGTACACTGTAATATTTTGTAACCCAGAAAAGATTGTACCCAGACCTAGACAGTTTAAGTCCTAAACACACTAAAAGATATATAGTGAAAAAATTAAACAGATTAGGAAGGAAGCATGTAGATGTAAGAATTATTTCACCATTAAATAATAACTGTTGTATGAGGTAGGGAAATGCTTAAGGTCTCAACGTGTGATCGAGTTTATAACTATGAAACTTTACATATACTACACTTAGGTTATTGTATATTACTCAAAAGATACAATACTTAAATAAAAAAATCCATACTTACATTTTCCTCCTGTTACTGGTGGTGTTGTAGGAGAGACGCCTACGATAAGTTAACCTCACCATTTTTATCTGGAAATCACAATTACCTTTTTATTATAACAGATTTAACCACTAAATACTTATTGTCAGTAATGGAGGAATACTTTACCACACATATATCAAACACAGTTAATGTTATAATCACGATGAACTCAGATAAAGTAACACATATTCTTCCCGTACATGGAGGCTTTAATGGAGGCCTGGGAAAGAGACCAGGCTTACCAACCTCACTAAACCTTAACTATTATACGGGGTAACATTTAATTATTTTATTTCTACTTGTATCAATTAAATGCTATAACGAGTTGCAGGTAATTAAGACCGTATTTTCTTTATTTATCATGAATAATATTAAAATATCAACCTTTGTCTTTAGTTATGCTTATAATTTCTACATATTAATATTAATAATTTGTTAGCGAGTATTTAATTTATAAATTACACTTGCCTGTATTCTTTCTTAATATATATAGTATTTCCAAACTAACTCAAAATACTGATTTGTTTTGAAATATTGTAATTTAAGTCCATGTAAGAACCTTCTGGAGACGTCAACTTCAGTAACAATTCCTATTATTGATTCCCGTCAATGTTATTAATTTAGTACAACAGGTATTTTAATATTTGTTTAACACTAAAATTCATTGTTCTTGTCTCTATATAATCATTTTCACTATACCCATAAACATCGGGAAATATTGCTTTAGTTTTTTTTTATTATTCAGTTAATTGTAAATATATGGGTTGAAAACTATCATTATTCATTAACTTTTTAACTGAGAAATCTAACAAGTATCCTGGTTCATATATCACATGAACCTTATAATATTTTATTAATTACTTGTATCTGCCTATAGGCCTATACACCTGTGGACAACAATCTGGTGCTGGAGGGAGACTTAACAATTTATATCTTCCATGAGACAGAGGTCATGTATCACCCCCGTCCCTGTGGGTGTAAGGGGCAGAGGACCTGTCTGGTGTGTGAGGAGGATCATGAAGCTGTCAACACCTACAACAGTTGGGTTAATGAGGAACAGAGGGTAAATATATCGTCCTGTGACCATTAGAGAACCCGGTCTGACTAATTACCCAAATTTAGCCGGAATGAAGTCAAATAATGGTCCTAGATGAATAAATCAGACTGCTAATCACTTCTCGACTAGTATTTGGTGTTAGAAAGTCACAAAAAATTGGTAAACTTAATTTAATCTGAGTTGTGTTAGGTTAGGTTAGGTTAGGTTAGATTTGAATAGAGTAGATTAGGTTAGGTTAGGTACATGCACTTGATCTATTAACTCAGATTAAAGTAAGTTTTCCAATTTTTTTGTGACTTTCTAACACCAAATACTAGTCGAGAAGTGATTGGCAGTCCGATTTATTCATCTAGGACCATTATTTGACTTCATTAAGTACTACATTTTGGTAATTCCTCATCTGGCCGGGTACATGCACTTGATCTATTAACTCAGATTAAAGTAAGTTTTCCAATTTTTTTGTGACTTTCTAACACCAAATACTAGTCGAGAAGTGATTGGCAGTCCGATTTATTCATCTAGGACCATTATTTGACTTCATTCCGGCTATATTTGGGTACATTTGGGTAATTAGTCGGACCCCTAGAACCACCTTGTCTGGTAGATAGATGGATATTATGTTGCAAACTCATCATACGAGTTCATATTAGTTCAGAATGTGCATTATACACTGTAGGTATACAGTGGCAGACAGTAATTCTATTCAGCACGATAAAATCAGAGAAAACTATACCACAGAACAAGTACTGTCACTATTGGAAAAAACTAAAAAACCTAACCTGACCTAACCTAATCCACCTAACCTAACCCCACCCCACCCCAACCCTAGTGCATAAGAAACTTAGCTTAAGTAAGAGATATAGGAGGATAGAGTAATGTGACTTGACTGAGGAAGTGGCTGTCTCTTCCCACAGTACCATGCAGATGAAACAAAAACACAGTGAGCCCTAGAAATGACAATGGCTGCTGCTTCATTGTCCAAAATGCGTTGAATAAGGCAGCAGCCAGCCAAAGTACAGTCTTGTTCAAGATTCTTCGAACACCGCTGGAGACAGCTGGCAACTCGAGGCCGTTTGTTTACTTTAGTACGCAGTATAATACAATGCAAAACAACAAAGCTCGACCATTAATTTAGCAACGGGGAACTAAGTAACCAATCACCGATAACCTTTTAAATTCTTTCATAATTTTTACTACGTACTATAGTAAACATAAGAACATAGGAATATAAGAAAATAAGGAGTCTGCAATAGGCCGGTTGGCCTGTGCATGGCAGCTCCTGCCGAGAGTTACTACCACTTTCTCTCATCCATGAATCTATCTAGCCTCCTTTTGAAACTTTCCAGAGTTCCAGCACTTACTACAAAGTTGCTAAGCTTGTTCCACTCGTCCACCACCCTATTTGTGAACCAGTTTCTTCCTATCTCCCTCCTAAACAAATGGCCTTGAGTTGCCAGCTGTCTCCAGAAGTCTTTGAAGAATCTTGAACAAGACTGTACATCTATCTCAAACAGACGCCATCTTCCAACTGGCCACAATTGCTGATTAGCACACGGGTATTACGTCAGATCAACACACGCTGATTGGCCAAATATTATACTTTACTTTTTTTTACTTTTACTCGAAAACTATAAATTTCCGACAAACATTATCGAATAAATTTTCTTTTCTTTTTTTCTCTCTCTGTATTCAGTTGCCTGGTTTTATTTTCTAAATCTTTACTGTTTAGTGTTCTCTTTTTATTATTTTGCCCCACATTTTTCCTCTACTGCCCACATTGAACCACCAATATTGTTGGTAATTGGGGAGGTCTTATCGGTTAAAATGCTCAAAAAGTATAAATTTGCGCTGGAAATGTAATAGAATACGTATATAATTTTTTTTTTTTTTCTTTCTCCCTGTATAAATAGAAATATTCAATTCTGTGTTCGACCTAAAACTTCTCTTTACCTCTATTTTTGTTAATACGTAGTTTCCATGCACAACAGAAATATGGCTAGGCATATTTACAGGTACACGACAACTGGCTCACGGTGAAGTAAATGCCAAATGCTGCCAGTCACAGTCAAAAATAGTTCTCTTGTTGTTTGCTGGTAATGGATGATTAGCTAATCAGAGCGCACTCACAGTAAAATAGCATTAGTAGGAACTTAGCCGGTCACGGCAAAATATCCTCTGCTCCCCCAAAATCAGTAATCCTGAAGCTGATGGCTAACACCAGAAGATGTTCAATTTTATTCAATTTTTCCACAGATGTTCTTTGGATGATAGTAAGTAATAAAAATGACACTGCACAGAACCTAATAGAACCTGACCTAACCAACCAAAGAACCCTACCTAATCTTACCTATTGAACAGAAAGTATTTACTGTACTTTGATATCTGGTACCAATAAAAGCAACTTTCTTGCAGTGGCATGACATAATTTTACTTTTTTTGTAAACGAGAGTACGCTCGGACCGAGTGCAGACGACAACACGCATTGATGCAACAGATTTTTCAGCTGAATATTTATGGTAAATAATTTCTTTGCATACAAAGGAGGGAGAGACATCATTTTAGTGTCTTATGATCAGTTTTACACTATCTTTTACTCCACAGTATCCTTCATCCTTCATTCCTTGCCCAGTACAGGTGATTTATGGTCATTGATAGAGAAAAACTACAAAAAAAATAAAATAAAAATGGATACTTATAATTAACTTAAACTAGTTGCTGTATCACTTTTATTATTTACTATCATCCAAACAACTTAATGAAATCGAGCAACTTCTTCTGGTGTTAGCCATCTACAACAGTTTTACCAAATTTCCTCCAACACACTAATCTACGGCCGGAAGATCCAAGCTATGATTCTGCCATGGCATCTTTCTTTATGTACGTCATTGGTTCCTTTCACACTTTTTTTTTAATACCCTGTACTGTAGTGGAGATGATTAGTACTCGTATTTGTATATTTTGCTCTGAAACAGATACTGTATATCAACTGATCTTCTTTGTATGTTTTACAATACTGACATAAGTGACATGCATTATTTTTTACTGGCCAGGAGTGCTCCTATGTGTATTGCCCAATGTGTGACCTCGCCTGGCCAGGCTGGGAGACGGACAGCTGGAAAGTTCACCCACATCATCAGGGAGAACCCATCAGGTAAATTGTATGATCAGTTAATTTCTTTTCACCATTCCAGGAATAAATATTGTTAAAACTCAAAATAATGGCATAATACAGTATTCTGTACTGTAATACAGTATACTGTATATAGTTAGGGAAATTTAACCCTTTGGATGCGACATGCGGGTAAACCCGCCCAAAATATTATATTAATTAAATGCGACAAGCGGGGATATCCCACGGCCTTGAAAAAACTTCCCCAAATGAGACGACATGCGGACATATTATGTATTGAGGTATAGGAGTATTTCCTGAATGCAATATAGCTTATTTTTGTACTATTTTGTTTGATATTATCTGAATATGTAATACATATCTAAATTTGCTGTTTAGTAACCAAATTGATTAAATTTATTTGCCATATACCAGACATTGATTTATACCAATTTCCTGCATTTTTGGGTATAAATGTCATTTTTTCTCTAAAATTTGCACACATATGTGAATTTTTGTTCCAGATTTGGAAAATATACTAAAAGTTCTCTAGGAAAAACATATAGAAAATGTGATTATATGAAATTCATTTTTGGCAGGATAATTGACACTTTTCAGGAACCGGCGCGAAATTTAATTACGCACCTAAAGAGTTAACTAGGTACTGTACCGGTACATTGTTATATTTGGTGTTGTCAGACACAAGGAAGTTATAACAGTGCCAGTATTGGAAATCTGTTTTGTACATTGCTACAGCTGAAACCAATTACTGTATAGGTTAGCCATCTCCTTTACAATCAACTTATTAGTCAACAATTTCCACACATAGTTGTAGTGTTGCAGAAGATGCATGACTACTTACACTGCTGTCATGTCCTGAGCTTCTCCAAGATGTTGTCACTGTTAATGTCACTTTATATTTTTTTTAGATTCCCTGGAACTAAAATTGTATTAGACTTCATATCTGAGGAAGAAGAAAGGGAACTCCTAACTCACATTGATGAAGTTCCGTGGGATCCTTCTCAGAGTGGTCGACGGAAACAGGTAGAAAGCTGTTTTGGTTTATAAGTAATAACAGATTTATGAACTTTGTAATGAAATGGTACATAAGTTATCATAACACTTATCACATTATTTAATACTAAATAATTTTGTTTTCTTTACTTGTTTGCTCATAATCCTTGCTCATAATTAACTTGTAGAATACTGTAATGGTGTATTATGCTCTTAACTGAACATCTGAATATCTTTTAATGAGGAACAATGTTATATGTAGCTAGAGTACTGTGTACTTTTTATCTTAGCTCCCACAGCCAGAATTATATGCTTATGTAATTGTTCTGCTTGTGTTTTTTAATTGGGGTTCTCTCTTTGTTGGTCTCCAAGTACTGTACTGTAATATCATGTGAACCACTTTGCTAATTTCTGTGCCCGTAAACTTTAAATCACCATTATGTAAATTTTCTTAGTAATATAGACTGTCTTTATTACTGTATATAAACACGTTAGTAATAATTCTTCAAAAGTTTATTTCGATGTCAAGTTGTCAGTCCGTTCCATCTGTTGGGAGAGTCCCGGCAACTAGACTAGGTATTGTGTTGTTTATTTCGATCCGTGCCATGACAGTGAAGAACTGCCATCTCATGGTTGAATATAAAATCTGAGCCAGAAACTCCAAGGGTTTGGTACAGGTTGTACCTCTCTAGTCCGGCAACCTCGGGACCTGACCGGTGCCGGACCATGGAAATTTCCGGACCATGGAAATTCACCCTTTTCCTGGACAGGTAGTGACTTGCGCTTACGTTAGCGCCACTTTCACTGCTTCGTGGTCTCTTTGAAGACATATTGAAGGGTTAAATGTCATACAGTAGCTTCTCAAATTTCGCGAGTTTTTAGTTCAACGTTTTTTATTTGGACACACAAAAAAAAACACTACATAATTTAAAATTTTGACGACGGAAACTCGAATTTCGACGGGTTTGAGTGGTCCACCAACGTTTAGGCGTGCACAATCGTGTAAACAGCGTCATTTCTCACATGTACAAAAGATTCATTATTGTTTATTGCTGAATGTATTTTTTATTGAATTAATGTTTGTGTGCAAAGTGAACAATACAATTCATTAATAATACGTAGAATATTAAAACACACAAGGAAATGAGACAGCATTGTTTTCGTTGATTACAAAACCAGTGACTGAGTGGTTCTACATATAAAACAAGAAAATAAGACCCTGGTTGTAGCTGTAGTAAAATTAATGTAAAAATTAATATGGTTGTTTTAAGTAATGTTATTTAATGTTAATAAATGGAACAATATAAGTAGCTAACCATTAATGTTAAAGAACAAAAGTGAGATCGTGTATGTAAGTGCGCACATGTGAAAACATATCGTCATTACTCTACATAAGAATATGAAAGCAACACTTATTTACTGTTCATATATATTGAAAGGTTAAATGTTGTACTCTGTATAGACAAACAGAGAGAGAGAGAGCCGAACTACCAGATGTAAACAAACCTTAATTTCCCGCGGCTTTGTTGTTGTTGTTTTTTACGGGGATTAGCCCACCCGGGCACAGGTCACTGACCCACATTGGAGCCTGAGGGGCGAAAATGTAATACTCCTGTAATAATAATAATAATTCAGATAAGTAAAAAAAAAAAAAGAAAAAAAAAGCTGCCTATCTACGTATTGGGCAAACCAAAATCGTTCCGGACCACAGAATGCCGGACTAGAGAGGTACAACCTGTCGTTTGTTCCAAAGGCTCAGGGGGCGAAGGAAATCTACGGCAACTGTACAGTATTTTCACATTTACTAAATGTACAGTACAGTACAATAAATGTAACTGTAATCACTTTTTTAAGTGTTAACATTGCTTTAAAACTTTATTCTTGGCTGCTTGTGTCCTAGTACAATAATGTACACTATTGCACATTAAAAATTGAACCGAAAAACAGCAGCGAGTGAAAGAAAAGAACAATCTTGTACAATGGCAGCAGAATATGATCTTAGATTGCGAGCCTGCAGCCTAAAGTTACCCAAGCAGTTTGCCCACCCATGTGCCTGATACATGGGGCCGAATCAGAGCATGATGCAATATTTCAGAGCTCCTGGAAAACTTGTTCCCAAGCCCAGAACAGAAAGATTTTACTCAGAAATTTTCTGGAAATTTGCATGAGTTTTCCCAGAATTTCTCGGAAGGCTCAAAATTCATTCCAGCTATTGGAGAATTCCGGGAATTTAAGATTCTGGCAAACGGGGAGATTACATACTTCTGGAAGATTTAGGGTATATTCTCATCATATTACATTACAGTACAGTACATTGAAACAAATATGAAATAAATTATCTTGACTAACCAACACTTGATATTTCAGCTTCATAGTAAAAACATCTTTGTTTATTGTACGTACTTGTAATTCAGTGTTTTTTAAGAGTGAGTTCAGAAATATTTTTGTTTTGGTCTGTATGAACATTTTACAGTATTTCACTTTATTAATGAGCTTGTGTGTGTATATATAAATATATATATATATATATATATATATATATATATATATATATATATATATATATATATATATATATATATATATATATATATATATATATATATATATATATATATATAATTAACCTCACTTCTGTGAAGTTAATGTAGGAGGTACATGAGGAAAATTAAGCAACGTAAGTGAATAACATAACATATGGGATTAATTGAAATGGAGTCCGGGCCGATCCCCAAACTCCACTTTTTGGCGACACACAACTATGTTGTAGTAAAAATATTATCTTAACTTTATGATGGTATGCACACACAATTAATAATTAAGAGAAATATCAATAATATTAGGTTTTTTAACACTTACATTAGTAGAAAAAATGGCTGGGCACACGGGGATGGGCGGTTGGTTCCGAGGCAGAGGGCAGATTATTGGCCCTCACTTGTGTCACTTGTATCAATTGTATCACTATCCACCACAGAGGCTTGCAGGGCCTCTTTGTCAAACTCCACAAAGTCCATATAAGTCCATATCCTCACCATAATTATCACTATCACTGACTTGGGCCGGCTGTGGTGGGTGGCGGGTGAAGAACTGGTAATGTTTTGATGACTGGGCGACCTTGTGCGCACCATGTTCGCGCAGCTTACACAACATGGCGGATGGCGGGAGGTTTTGATCCAAAAATGGCGCGGCTTGCCAGCCGCTCTCCGCGTAAAGGGGTACACGCACCGCGGAATGTGAGCATCCTGGGTTCCGGCAGGGCACCGCATAAACGTGGAATGTGGGACCGCGTAAAGTGAGGGTTAATTGTGTATATATATATATATATATATATATATATATATATATATATATATATATATATATATATATATATATATATATATATATATATATATATATATATACATACAGTATTACCCCGCTTTACACGGTTTCACTTTCCGCGATTTCTCATTTACGTGGTACCTTGCCAGAACCGGACTTTCACTTTCCGCGGTGCATCTACTCATATACGCGTGAAGTATAATTTTTTATTTTTT